TTACCCACTTTTTCGAATTCCCGAGGGGTGCGACATAGTAGGAGATTGACTGTATATATGTATATATGACGATGCAAAGTATGAGTAAAATAAAAGCACACTATCACCTCGTTCACGAGACAGTTGATCAGCCTCTATCCTTTTTCCTGTGCAGGACTGCCCCAGCCGTATTTCCATGCTTGTTAAGATGGTATGCATCTTACTGTGCTCATGGAAGCACTAACTTTCAGGATAACGACTCAGGTGGAAGCAATCAAAACCTCACTACTTTTTTCTAAAAAGTAATCATTTTTCTTTGTTTCTGTATTTAACTGAAATCGCAACGTATTTAAACGAACTTTCCCTTACCTCCTTCCCCCCTCCCCCAAAAAAAACAAGGTGGGTTTATTCGCCTCGTTGAGAATAGCAAACATTCTAGAGCACCGACATTCTCTTCATAGACCCAGCATCTCTGTCTTTCTCAATCTGAAAGCGGCCTTTGCCTCAGTCGATCGCCATAAACTTTGGCGCTGCCTTTCTCTCAAGAGTGTGCCCGAGAAGTTCAGTGTTACGATCCCTTTATACTAGTAACCGAAGTAGAATGCGAGCTTACGGTACTGTTTAACCCGAGTTCACAACAGAAAGCGCTGTGCATCAGGGTTGCCGTTGCTCTCTTTTTTTGTTTAACTTAGTTATATATTTATTTATGGAAACAGCTCTATCCTCATGCGAGGATAGCGGCATCGATTTACTCCCACGCATCAAGCTATCCGATCTGGAGACTTAATCATATANCAATGGTCAGAGATACTTGGTGCTATGGGTGAGTGTCGAAAACAGTGGCGTTCATGCATCTCAATTTCTTTGCAACCTTAGTCTACTGAAATTCTCCATTTCCCCTTCTAGTATACTTTAAACTTTCCTGTCTTTTTCCCACTGGTTCATCCAAATGAGCAGACAGAAGACCGCAACCAAAACCAGCGCACGATACTACATAGTTAATGGTTGTATAAACTGAAACTGACTGAACCTGGCGCCAAATTCAGGTGGCGGTTGCGGAGTTTGAACCTCGGACCCCCAAATGGAAACACTCTGGCGTCAGTGCCTTTCTTCGATTTAGCACTCTCACTGTGAAGCGTTTACTAATGAGTAGGAAAGTGGTTCACGAAAGTTATGGAACAACATATTGACGGTTTACGATCAGAGCTTGGGACAGTGCGCGAGAGTGTTACCATGAATCGCTTATATGAATGCATCTCTCCTGTCCACCCGATCTGAAGTTAGGCTGTGTACCAAAAGGAATATTTGGCACACTGAAGGGTAAAGCTCCATATTTCATTTTTTTCGTTTTGAGTGGTTTACCTATTTGAACCACGTCTATAGCCTAAGGATTAACCCAGCCCAACCTGCTGTGAATACGAACAGTATCATGAGCCCAGAATTCCTGGCGACCCAAAATCGTTCACCATTTGTTTATTGAAAACTGAAACAAGCCTTTCCCGAGATTAATTTGAAAAGAAAAGACCATATTGCAATACTGCACGATTTATAAAGTTGGGGAATCTGAGTTCCTCTCGGCTTCAGGTCCCGCGCGGCGTTAGAATCGATGAAATTTCCTTCTAATAGAAACTGAACTTCAGAGGCAATTTCCCGTTCCAGCTCTTTGGGGTCATCACATACCTTTTCTCGTAAGAACTTGCTGGGGTCATTGAGGATACGTTCCATCTTTCGTTGGTAACCTGCACGGTCCATCAGGACAGCCCCAGAACCTTTATCAGGGTTTAAAATGACCAAATCAGACTTGTCCTTTAATTCCTTTAAAGCGGACAAATGCTCAGGAGTGAGAAGTGACTTTTGTCTCGATGGTGTTATTCGGTATTGACACCCCAG